GCTCTGACTTACCATGTCCACTGGCCACGTGAGAGCCAGGGCTGCCTGCCCGGCTTGTCTAAAGAGACCAAGTCATTTGATTCCCAGGACAAAGGGGCCTCATCAGAGTGGACACAGCCCAGCAGGGAAAGCCTGACATCACACAAAATAGAGACAACCTCATTATTCTGGAATGTGGGGGCTGTAGGGAGAGCAGAGTTGAAATGTGCCTTTATACCTTACCTAAATCCCAACAAAGCCCATGAGTGTCCAAGTATCACCGAGAATACGGTAAATTACTCCAGCACCCTGCAGTACACAAAGCATTTGATGTGAATTATGGATTTTTCCATTTCAAATTAGCCTTCAGTCTCTCGGGGAGGTAATATAGCCTCGTGGCTTCAGAATAGGGGCTCTGGTGTCAGCCTGTCTGAGCTCAGATTTTATTTCTCCTACTTGTTACCTAGAACATGACTTTGCACAAGTCCTTCTCTGCACCTCGGTTAACTCATCTATAAAATGGGATAAGAATGGATTATTTTCAGCATGTGTACAATTCCTGGCACAAAAGAAGTGATATTATGCTCATTACCATCACACTATCACTGTCATTATATAAGGAAAGATTTCCTAAATATTTCGACAGGACGCCCTATTGCTACTGTAGTGACCTTTTCATGAGAATCCACGCAAAGTGCAAAGATCTGGATATTGTAATAAAAAGTGCTCATTGTTGCACACTTGAGTTCTCTGGGTTCAAATGATTCAGTGTGCATATGTGTTGAAACTGACTTGAGTCTAGGTTTTTACATTACCGCAATATGAATTATAATGCTTAGACTCAGGTAGGGTGTAAAATAAACAGAGCCACCTGTGTAAACTGTGAGTCTCGTCCCTGACACTCAGCCTGGTGGTGCTGCCCCCCCTTTCCATGAACTCAGACCCACGTCCTGTAGTTGGACAAGCCTTTGAGAGTGTGGGGAGGGATTCCAGGGGCAGCATGTGCCACCTGGTTGTTCCTGATGAGGGATCCCTTGGAATGAGAGCCTAACCTCGAGATCTGCGGTCTCCACCCTTGTAAACTCTTCATCTTGTATTGCAGCCATCTCTGACCATAGCATTTCAGTCTCTCTTCCCTCACCTCCTGGACCACAAGCTCATAGGAAAAGCTAAATGGTCTCTGCCTCTTTCTTACACTCAACCTACAAAACACAAGCAATGTGTCTGCACAGGAATCACTCGTGAGGTGCTTATTGAATGAACAAATAATACAACACTGCCTTTTTCCATGATTTAACAGAGCAAGAGGTATTATATTTGCTGATTTAATATAAGACCTTTCCAGGCAGCACCTATACACTGATGTAACCTGATGTCATGTCCCCAGGCTGAACACAGTTGCTTGCACACTCTGGTTGCTTAATAAATGTTTGTTTTGTGAATGAGTGAAGGAAGGAATAAATGAGTAAACCATGGAGTGGCTCAATGAATATTTGATGTTTCAGGCTAAATAAAACATTTGCCATCTGATGACTTGGGTAAATCGGGGTATGCACACCAGCTCATTAAGTACATGGCAAAGAGTCAGTCGTTGAACTTGTCTCTTTATGAAATAGGATTCGGGGCTGTAATAAACCCGGAATCACGCATGCATGAAATGAAGCGTCAGTTGCAGGCTTTCTGTAAAGATTCTGTTCATCCCTGTGCCATCCTGATTTGACGATCCCTTTCTTTAAAGTCTGTTTTCTTCATCCTCTATCCCCACACCTCACCCCTCCTCAGGGACAGACCTTGTCAATGCCAACACCCCTTCATTGAATTTTTTTTTCCAAAAACAAAAAGCATTAAGCAGCATGTGACTCACTTCCTAGACACAATCCAGGCTTTATTTTCTAAAGTGGAGAAAGCACAAGGGACTCACAGAAATTTCAGGACATTACCAAACGTTGGCCAGCATCAGAAAGGAACTCTCATACCATGCTGGCGCAAATATAAAATGGTGAAGTTGCTCTGAGAATCTATTTGCAGTTTCTACTCAAATGAAGCACGCACCAACCCTGTAACCAGTGAATTCTATCTCTAGGAATATTAGCCACAAAAAAACAGGTGCATGTGCCCCCAAAAGGCATACACAGGAATGCTTCAAGATGACTTACTCATCTTAGTCAAGTGATAAATAGATGTCGTTTCTCTGCATGTGGAATATGATAGAGCAGTGAACAAAGAACAAACTATTAATGCAGCGGGACTGCCCATTGCAACTTCGTCCGGAAGAATCTCACAGATACTCTGTTGAGTGAAAGAAACCAGACGCCAAAAAGTACATGCTGTATAAATCTGTTTGTAGAAAGGTAAAAAAAACAAGCAAAACTAATCAGTGATGATGGAAGTATGAATAGAGGGTGAGGAGGAAGGAGACTGAACTGAGAAGGAGCCCAGGAGAGCCTTCTGGAGAGCTGGAAATGCTTTATACTCTGATCTCAGTGGTGGGCACGTCGGTCACCCAGGTCATCAGGCCGGATGCTTAAGATCAGTGCACTTCTCGTACTCTGCTCTAGCCATCTTGTTCCTCATTTTGAAAGATGTAATTGCAACAAATGCCAGGATTCTCTCATGCTACCGAGATCGCTTGACGTCTTAATTCACTGGTAGAATCTCCTTCTTATTTCTTTCTGAATGTTAATAAATGGCTTTGAGTAGACTTCCTAAGTATTATTTTAGTAGCTGAACTGCTCTGATGTTTGTCACACAAACAGCGGCCATGGAGCAATGAGAGTTGGAACTCAGGGACCATGTGAACCAGAGCTCGCCCGGCTGCTCTAGCCGTGTGGCCTTGGGCACCGTATCTTTACCTTCTTGAGTCTCAGTCTGTTTGTCTAGGAAGTGGAGACAATATCCGCATTCATCGGGATTAAATGAGAGAGTCTATGGGAAAGTGGCTAGCTGGGCACAGAGTAGAGGTGACTAGTTGTATATTAGACATGGGCGTTCAGTAGCAGCAAGAGCAGTTGTGGAAGTGCTAATAGTGTCACTGGAGTCACCTCCGGGTCTGGCTTGGCTAAAGGAGAACATAGCCTGCAAGGCGTTTGCTCCCGGGTCTGGAACACCCCATGTGTACGGCGTGACATTCATCCATGTTCCTGGTGTCATCAGAGCCCAAAGTAAAGCCAGATGTCCCCTGCCCCCGTCTGAACCCCAGGCTGCGGTTCAGTGGGCAGATGGTGCACATAATTCTCCGTAATGATCCCCCTCCGTGGGCTGCCCCAGGACAGTGTGTGATTACTGTGTAAAAAAGGAAACCAGAGGTTAAACCTTGGTGGAATCCGTGTCTGGTTAGATCATTTACATTCGTAATTACTTTCCGTCACCACACTGGAGCGTGTCTGGTTGTTCATAATGGGAACAGTGATTTGCTGTCGGCGTCCACATGGAGAAGGCCGTGTGACTCACACGTCCGGGCCCAGCTCAGGGAATGCGGTGCGGCTGAGTCCCTGCTCGGGCTGATTCAGTTGGCGATGGTGTCCCTCTTCCTGGTAAAGCCACTGACACTCAGAGACGAGAAGGACCATGAACTCCATTGGGAGGTGAAAGATAGATCGGTTCCTCTCCCAGCAAGTCTTAGCCCTGTCAGCAGCAGCGGAAGCTGTCATTTCTCTGGAACCCACAATGTGCCGGAGCACTCTGTGGAGTGCAGTGCTGTGACCTCGCTCTCACTCTGTCTGGGCGTAATCATCTCCACGTTAAAGATGATGAAATGGAGGGTTATAGGAATGAAGTCAAGCTTGTAAGTGACACAGCCAGAAATCAAATGCTTTCATGCCTGACTCCCCAGCACTAGGCTTCCCCAAATGGAACCTGCAGGCTGTTGGAAAGTCTGACTTTCCACGGGCTACTCACAGGCTCTGCACACAGAAGCTCCTCAAGAATGATCACAGTGCTCCCCTCAAAGGACTAGTGTCTGGCTCAAGCCAGTTAGCCCAATCCTATCTGCCAGCTCCCAGCCCCCAACCCAAATATCACATCCATTTGGGAAGGATTGTAAGTTTATGGTGGCCCCTTGCTTTCTGCAAGGAAGTTGACCCATGAGGAGCAATCCTCAGGAAAACTTAGAGTCAGAATAACTCAGCTTTTTGGGGTTAAATCTCACACTTACTTTTATTTCTGGAAGATTCCAAGATGAAGAGAAGAGATGTGAAACCATGTATTGGCTCCACCAAAATTCAGGCACACATCCCCACTCACTGGAGTGCCATATTGGTTGGAGATTGATGACAGAGGCCAATAAATAGAAGTTGCTACTATTGGCTATCGTGCTTAGCACATAGGACGTATTCAATGAACTATCATAATTATGTTTATTGTCATTCTATAAAAGATGGATATTAGTTTTCATCTTCTATAGATAACTTCCCACAAGGATTCAGCTTCTAAGCAAGGCTGAACTCCCCAGAGAGTCCCACATGCTACTGTTTTGCACAGATCCATCATGGCCCATGGGCAGCTCATTGTCGTGGACCAAGTTGATTCTCACTTCTCCCATGGAATCTTGGGAGTAGTGTGTCTTCCAATCCCAGGACAGAATCAAGCTCTTGATAGTAGTATAGAATACTAGATAAAAGAGATCAGTGTAAAAGCATTTGCATGAGAGGAATTCACAGCTCTCTCGCAATGAAATAAATTCATTTCTGCCTGCCCACTCTGGGGCTGCCGGGGACCATTGTGCCTGGCTGATGCAGGGGTGTTCTCCACCCAACCATCTGCAGGTGAGTCAGAAGTGCACTTCCACCGGCAAGTTGTGTGTGTAGGGTCCTGTGGTCCCCTGGAGTTGTGGCAACAGTGCATCGGGAGACACTTCAAGTGGAACAAATGGCTGGCTTGGGTGTGCTGCAGTTGTATCTCCCAGATTTACATCTGCTTAGAATATTTTTAGCTCAACACATATCTTGTCCCTGAAACTGAGCGGGAGCTGTCACAGGCAGCTCAAGATAGGGCCAGGCTTGACTTTGTTTTCTATTTTCCAGCAGCCAGAGGCCCACACTTCAGGACTCATTTGGGTGATTACAGCAAAGACGAAGTCGTCGTGGATTTCATCACAGGGGAGGCCTGCCACATCTGGTAAGTTGTTTGATATTTATATAGATCAGTCTTCGAAAATAATGAACTTCCAGGAAATACATATTGGATGTGCCTCCCAAAGTCTCAGAGAACAAAATGCTTAATGTTAGGGAGGAAACTGAGGGAGTGTTTTGCAAAGTGTTCTCTGTAGAAGCTGAAATCTGTATTACCTTCCATGGAAAGAGGGGTCTGTTATCAAATAATGGATGTATACAAAGGCCCCAGCTTTGAGGTCCCCCAAGTACACCAGCACACAAAAAGTTCTTAAGTCCAGCAGTCATGGAACCTTTCTCAGGGTTTTCTGAAAATTTTGCTCATGGACGTTTTATTTTTTTCAAGGAACACTGTTTCCTGGGATGACTTCTAGGAAACAGTTGGCCAAAGAAATTTGTTGATACAGAGGCCCAGGAAAATGTTTCTTCTCAATCAAGAGTCCTACTGAATATATTCTAGTTGGAAATAATTATTTCACACTGGTCAGATTTTCAGAGGAAGAGTTTAGGGACTGGAGTAAAATCACCCTCAAAAATCCTAGAAGGTCTGGACGTTTTGTCATTGCCATTCGTCTTAGACCCCTTATGCTGCTGTAACAAAAATACTGCCACCTGGGTGACTTCAACAGCAAGGATTTACTTCTCATGGTTTTGGAGGCTGGAAAGTCCAAGATCAAGGGAGCAGCAGATTTGGTGGCTGGTGAGGACCTGCTTGCTGTGTCATAGATGGCCGTCTCTTCACTCTGTTCTCACATGGGGGAAGGGGCTAGAGAGCCCTCTGGGGTCTGTTTCATAAGGGCAGTAATCGCATTCGTGAAGTTGCCACCCAAATGATCTAACCACTTCCCAAAGGCTCCACCTCCTAACCATCAAAATGAGGAATAAGTTTCAACATAGGAATTTTAGGGGGACACTCATGTTCAGTCTATAACACCATCCAAGTTAATACCTTAGAAACTGAGTCAAAACTGTAGGTAGCAGGCCAGCCACGACCTTAATAAAGCCCTAAGCAGGACCTTGGTTACTGAGCTGGGATTGGCATCATTAGAATCAAGTCTAAGCCCCTCTTCCCTTATAATAGTGGTGTGATCTCAGGCTGCTTTCTACAGCTTCCTGATCTTGATCTTTAAAACGAGGACAATATAATAATAATAGCATCTTCCTGCGTATATCTC